TTAACATCGACCAGACTACACAGCGCAACAACCCAGAAGAGAGAAATCTTCATACTCATCGTCCTGATGACGGAGGCAGTATGACCTCTGAAACGTCGGTGTAAATTCTACCAGACTACACGGCGCAACAACCCAGAAGACAGAAATCTTCATACTCATCGTCCTGATGACGGAGGCAGTATGACCTCTGAAACGTTGGTAAACATCGACCAGACTACACAGCGCAACAACCCAGAAGACAGAAATCTTCATACTCATCGCCCTGATGACGGAGGCAGTATGACCTCTGAAACGTTGGTTAACATCGACCAGACTACACAGCGCAACAACCCAGAAGACAGAAATCTTCATACTCATCGCCCTGATGATGGAGGCAGGAAGGACTTCTGAAATGCAGGTAAACATCTACCAGACTACACGGCGCTACAATCCAGAAGACAGCCATATTCGGACTCACAGCTGTGAACTCCTACTATTATTACATATAAATGCTATTATTTCTTGTGTAATTGTTTTGTAAGACTTTTTTAGCTATAGACTATCAAAAGTGACGTTACGTAGAGACCAGCCAAGTCCCCCTAACTCAGGATTCCTGGTCACTGAATTTGGTCCAACGAACTTCCAACCGTGATGAGAAATTTTATCGAAATAAAATCTTCTTCAGCTTTAGCACCACAACACGCTAAATTAAAAATTCATTGCACTTTATAAGGGTGAGGTAATGAATTGTTATGAATGCTGTCGGGGCGACGCCTCTGGAATCGAAGACACAGGCCTACGAAGTGTTCATAAAAGCAGTCTGGTGTGTGACGAAGAATAGTGATGATAACCATTAAATGCATTTAATTCTTCGTTAACGCTCTGAATCACACTGGTAACCTTTTGCACCACCTGCTTGAACTTTAAATAATTGCACATTGTCCACAAAGTTTATTTATAGAATTTATATAATTCTCGGAATAAACAGCAATTAGCCTTTTTCCCTAAATAGCATTAATCAATTAATATCTATAATGGAGAAGTATCGTATATCCTCTGAGGTAGGAAATAAATTTTTAAATATTATTTAAATAAACATCTGGCTTCAAATCTTTGATTCGTGGGGAAGAAATTCTTCTTTGCCCACCAGACACATTTGCCTGCAGAAGATTACATGTCCTATCTCCAAGATCTGTCTATCAGTCAGGATATTTCTTTTCCTCGAATTTCAAGAAATGGCTACCAGCACATCCCAGACGGAGCCATTATTTTCGCTGATCTGGGTCTAGTCTTGCGTTAAATGACATGAAGGATTGAGGACTGTTCTTTCCCTCAGCAAGCAAGGGTCTGCATTGTAAAGAACTTCACTATACATTGCACGGATAAGATAAAAAAAAAAGATGGCGGTGAAAGGGGGTTTCCGTAGTAAATATAATTTTTAGCATTCTATTCGCTCGAATGTCTTTCCGCATTCAAAGAGCCGAGTCCCGGAGATCCTAATGCTTCAGGTTGGGTGGGTAATGAAAATAACTGCCATTAGAGGCCGAGGAATGAATGGAAGAGGACGGAGCAAGTGAAGTCGTGTGAAAGGAACGATATAGTGGCTCGTTTGATATGGAAATTAGTGGTCGGCTATGGGGTACCAGCACCGCATACTTAATTCACCACAAGCACACCCCTCCACCCCTTATTTTCCACCCACCGAGCCACCCCTTTCCTCCTAACTTCCTGCATTCTCTTTCACTGATCGAAGTCTGATCGAAAGTCATTCTTCTTCATTTCCGTGCCATTTTGCCTTATGTTTCGTCACACAATTGATATGAAGACGGATCTCTGTTCAGTCCTTACACTTGAGTTTTAGTGTGCATGAATCAGCTGTCCTCTTCCTTCATATTTCTTACCAACTTCTTTGTTGGGCAAAGCGTACTTTGTTCTCTTAATAACATCTGAATACGGATACAAGCTAGCTGGCAGTTGAAGTCTATCTGCAGTTTGCGCACGCATCACAGATTTCTGGGCAATTAGTACTGGCAAGCTAAAACCTCCCCCCCAGGCACTTACCACAAGTGGCCAACACGCTTCGAAGATTCTTGACCCGTGGATTTTTTTCACGATTTACTCTACTATACATTTCTATTTGACTAAGTGGAACCTTAACTTCCTCAATAATTTTTCATTTTTTAAATTAGAAATAAAAATACACAAAACTCGTCTCCAACTTGAGTCTTGTATGCCCGCGTTTCGAGTACTGAGTGCTTACTCCCCGAAACTTTTACTGCATAAACAACGAGTTTAATTAAGTACTTACGACTTTAGTTATGGATACGTACCTGTGCAAAATAAGTCAAGGAAATGAAAGGGACATTAAGTCATTTTAAAAAATGTTTTCTGGCGCAACTAAACAAGTTCCTCTATACAATCTTAACATGCCACATTCTCAGGATACTGCATATGTTCTGAGGAAAGGCCTACAATACACCGGTAAATGACGTTTCTGGAATTTCTTATATTTGCGTGATTTTTTAAAAAATTTATTTCTGTATTTTCGATATTAGCGGCTCGGGATCGAACCTGGCACCCTCTGAGTACTAAACCTACATGATTTATGATTAATACAGTTTATTAAATGCTACAAGTTAAAATACGTTAATAATTTCATTACTGGTCTGAATCTAAAACGTAACTATTGCATAATTCCAGAACTTCGACGTATTGCCTGTCACGTAACAACACGTAGAGAGAACTGGGAAACACACGACATTCACCAAATACGAAGAAAAAATCTGTATTAAACACACACACTTATACATCTTTTTCGCTTATTGTTACTTGTTTTGAACTTAAAAGTATTGCAGATGTTTAAACTGGTTAACACTTTAAAAATCAATTTAAAAACGTAAGCCAATTAGGCATCACAGTTGAAACCCCAAGCAAGAAAGAAGTCTGGTAACAACAAGGCATGCTACAAGAGAGAATAACTTATATGCGAATAACTTATATGCACACACAAAACAGGTACAAACGGATATTCATTTTGTGAAAAAAACAAGAGATCCTTACGACAGAGGAGAATACAAAATCAACGGAAATCATCGGGGGCAAATGCTGGACTTCATAAACACAGCTATTGATGATTTGTAGAAATATTTGGAAGACGCGAGTATAATCAGCAAAAAATAAATTAAAATTATTTTAGAAAAATTCGCTTATGACCTCAGTGATTACAGACATAATTTCTTCCTTTAACGATAACATGACAACTTTTGTTGGATATTATGCCACGGTGGTCTAGCGGTTAGAACGCTGGGCTTGTAATCCTGGGGTCTCGGGTTCGATTTCCGGCGGTGCCCGAATTTATAACTTGTGTTGGGCAAG